TTACATTAATAAAACACTGTACAAAATTTTAGAAATTTTGCTAGCCTATTAAAAAAGTTATTCAATTCTTATTAACGAAAATCTGAGAATTTCACTCTCCTTTAATAAAATGGCTGACATGGTTTAAGCTGTAACCGTGTTTGTACAAATACGAAAAAAACTGATCCGCAGTGTCCTTAACATCGATTCCAATGACATATAGAGAAGACACGAATACCGAACAGGTTAAAAAGACGTCCACCAATACCAGATATTTATCCCTTAATCCATTTAAGCCGCTTAATTCACGTCACATCAACGTGAAATATTTACGATCCGGTAAGGTAGCAAAGACGTGCGCGGGTGTTGGTTTCGTGTAGGTGAACGTAGGCAGCCTCTCAGGTAGCAAGGAGTGAGGGGGCCAAGGGAAGCCTTAGCCAAGAGTTGCTAACTCCGTCGGAGCGATATAACGAACACATGTTCCAACGCGGGTCTACATAATCCGCAACAAGCTATAGGGTCGCACTGGCTCACGTCTATGTGTCTTGAACGCGTGTATGCGCATCCCTTTACAACTACGATATGTTCCCTTTCTATTTCTTTCTTGTATCCCTTTCTTCATTTCCGGTCCTCGACATTCACACAAATTCTGTACTCGTTTATTTGTTACATGTATAAATTCGCACTAGGTTAATTACGTTGGACGATCAATGAACTAATTCGAATTTTTTATATAAATTCGATTGTTCCTTTTTTATCTTCTCAGTGGCTTCATTTTTATAATCGATCATAGAAAAGTCGGAAATGATTTTAGATAGATTTCTATTAAAAGAAAAATTGATAGATCCCAGAAATGGACAACAAATGTTGCGGGATGTCGCTCGACCTGAAAGAGAGGAACGCATTTCTATCGGAGCGTGCACCATGGAAATCGCACACGCACGGATAGATCCGGTTCGCACGTGACACGCAACCCAACTCCGCGGAGTTCCACACGCAATGCACGAACGATTTCACCCACGAAGGGCAACTATCCCAAGAATCGACTTCCAATCGTCCCTAATAGCCGAAGCTCGTTAACGAAATTGTTTGTACTTCGTGATTCCGTTGCTAAATAACTCCGCGTGCACCGCCGTCTGTACATCCACTTTAACGCGTTCTCGCGTTGTCTAATTGTCTCCCTGAAAGTGTCCCTTCTCCGTGACGCAAATCCACCGTGAAGTACCCGAATCGTGGCCAAAATCCCGTGAAGTGAATCCTTTGTGATGTACAGTCTTCCGTTCAATTGACATCTTTTTCATTTAAACTGTAAAAGCAGTATTGTATTCAAATTAATCTGCAAGTTAATTATATTATATGATATTTATATTTTTATAGAAGGCGAGCAAGGGTATTTTTTTCGACTATATTTTCCTTGTAAGTACTCCTAAAAATTGCTCGTTTAACAAGTATTAGAAGGTAGGAAAGCTAAACGCAGATGGTATAGAGAGTATTTAACGCGGAGGGTCAGACGATAATTTTCCTCACGTTTGATTAAAATTTATCGAGCGGATCGCGAGATATCTAACGCCTCGCGTGAACCGAGCTTTCAGAATGAATTCACTCCTGTTGAATCCCGCCGACGCGCGGTTCCCCCACCCTTCCCGCGCGATGATATTTCATGTACGGGCGCGAGGTGTGATATTTTTCGACATTTACTTTATCATCGGCCGCACAAAGATTTTTCCCGCGTGATTTTAAACGCGTCGCTGGACGAGGGTCGGGTCGGGCTTTTGTAGCCGCCGGTATCTGCTTTCAACGGGGCCGCTTTTGTAACGAGCTATCGATAGGCACACGACTTTTTAATACGCCGGTCGACCGATTTTTCTTTTTTTCCCCTCTCTTTTTTGCCATCGGTTGAACAAAGCGCAGTTAGGAAGAGCGTAACACGTTGAATCTCCAACCATGAATCTCGATCGAATAGCACGGTCCGGGTAAAATTCGATAGCCGATTCGGTTTCAGCCCCACGGTTGCGCCCGAATTTCTTTCTTCTGCCACGACGCATTTCCGCGATATCGGCCCTACGGGAGTTACAACGTGAATTTTTCAGATGCGAATCGGATCACATCGATGCGAATAAGATTCAATTATCGGTTGGTTATAAGCTCGAGCTTCATTGATCAATTCATGAGGGAATTAATATAATTCATGAAAGAGAGTAATAAATATTTATGGGACATATTAATTTCTTGATATATATAGTTCATAAAATAACGTCAGTACTAATTCAAATAATTTTCTATTCCTCATGTTTTATGGCATTAAAATTCATGTAGTGCATTGTGAAATTGCAGTATTGATAAGTGAAATGAATTGTATTCATTTTTCGTTTACTATACTCGCAGCATTTAGAGCTGAAAAGAGTACAACCTCAAAAGGATTTCTTTCTTCAAGGCACTTCTAAATTTATCATCTTGGCATACAATAAAGTGAAACACTGCCTGAGATTCTTGGCAGTTCAACAAACGTATCAAAATAGACTTTAGACATACACGTGTATAAGCAAATTTCTTTTATAACAGTAATTCATATTGATGATTGACATTACTCTATTCTTCTTTCAAAAAAATTATTTAGATTATCGTCAAATTATTTATAGCATCCTGCATTTACATGTTTGCGACTGCAGTAAAGAATTAAAATCAGTATTATAATTATAACTAATCGGATTCATCAGAATTATAACCAATTTGTCGGAATTAAAAATGCAACTTGGAATTAATCGGAACTGAGTGGAGATGAACAATGAAAGAGTTAAAAGATTTTAATATTCTCTAGATTTGAATATAAATGAGGGCAAGAATGGAGTAATACAATGGCGGTACCAAATATCTTTCCCCGTACTCTAGTCGGCAACGGTCCGCACGAAAATCTATGTTTCCGTTGTTCCCATTTTCGTCATCGTGATCCGTGCATCAGTTGTTTCCATGCATCGGCTCGAACGGAACTAGGCCAAACTGGAAGTAGAGTAGCAGACAAAGCTTTATCAAACGGGACAGCGGCTAGGGAAAGGATTTGCGAGTAGGCATGCTTCTTCCAAAAAGACAATATTGTACGTTGTCCCCCCAACCCCCCGTCACCTCCCCTAAGCTGCTTGTTTTAGACGGCCAAGTATTAAACTAAAACCGAAACGTATTCGAAGAGGATTACTCTTCATAAATGTCCTTTAAACTCGCACTATGTATCACCATTGAGAAGAGGATCGGATGGCAACCTTCGGATGGGTCCACCCTGTATACTGGACGTGAGCACTTACACGGAACATAGCCGATGACATAGCGCGGTCACAGTAGTCACTCCATCGTGCATGCATGAGACACGATATGAATTGCAAATGCTGTAGCCCCCGCCGGTGGGGAAACTTGGCGCTGGGTAGTATGTAATATCGGCGATGCCCGTAGAATTGCTGTCTGAACGAGTAGTTTGTTGGACCGTGTCCGCGACCGTTTGCACCTCCCTTAAATTCAATGAAATAACTCGCGGTATATGTATACGTATCGCAACGAATTATTTAGAGTAGCGGAGAAATTATAACCCGGTTTTCCTCGCGCGTCAATGTCTCGCTACCTCCTCCTGTTGCTAAATTATGCTTATTGAATAGTCGTCGGACAATGTGACTGTGCACAGGTGGATTGTGGCTGGGCGAAATTCACCTGCGTCGCAATATTGCTTATATGGAAATCCTCATATATTTGGTTTTTTTTTAAATGTCTTAATGTTATATGGGAGAGAAACTGTTTGTATAATAGCAGAAATCTCAAAAACGAGTTAAGTATTGAATAGGAGCTTTGTAAGATACTTCTGAGTATCATAAGTAGATTGTAGATGTTTGTGTATTTATGCGAATTTTCAGTAATTTTGCAGACACAGTATGCAGTAAAATGCAAATAAATACAAAATATCGAAAGTAAAATTACTGGATCGAATAAAAGTGAAAATAGGTTTTGTCAATATTTCTTTAATGCGATGAAGTATCGAAGATATGTTTTCTCTAATTTCTTACAAATCAATTTGTGGATTTTTCAAAATTCACTGCCCTACTGGAATAAAACGAGTTTCTATATATTTATTAAAATTTTTTAAGTTTGATGAATATGTTTGGTTTTTATTAACGTAGCTTACCTATACATATACACTTGGCCATACAATTTCAGAATTTATCGTGAATCATTCAATTCATTGAAAATGTGTAAAATGTATATTTACAAAATCCTCAATATCTTTGGCATTCGTGATGAATACATTTGGTTTTTATTAACATAGCTTACCTATACAAATACCTACACACTTGTCCATAAAATTCCAAAATTTATCATTCACTAACAGATTGAAAATGTGTAAAATGAATGTTCACAAAGTCCTCAATATCGTTGAAAGTCATGAAATATTTCCATTATATACATTTTAAATCCTGAATATCTTTCATCTCCATTTTCCATGGTTTTTATTCATAAAATATTTTTATTCTAAATTTTACATTTATTATATTAATTCTTAAATACACATTATTAATTCTATACATATGCATAATAATTAGTACGGACAAAGTTATATAAATCGGAGTTCAAGACAGCTGACCCACTTAATTATAGACAGTAAAATAGTTTACAAAAGTTGTATAGAATTCATCGCATATTTAGTTTTCGAAATTCAATATTAATTTCCTTCCTCTTCTTTTACTCTGCCCTGCAGACTATTACGAATGACCAGATCGATTACGCTTCAACGATCAATGAACAGCTTCCAACTTCGTTAGCGATAGACCCACGTTACGATTGGTACTCATTATTATTTCACTTTGTCGAATCGATTCAATAAACTTTATAACTAAGAAATTCACGCTTCCTTCCTACGTGAGTCACTATCGTTTCTATATAACTCCGCTACATAAATGTACGATAGGAACAGTTAGATAGCGTGGCTGTGCACGCTATGCTAGATGTCGGTCAGAGTACTATCTTCGGCTTGACACTTGCATGCACCTACAGCCGTGACTGTCGTACAGTAATATCGCAGTGTTATCCGAGTTCAATTACGTAATTCATTAATCGTCGAATGAAACGTCAAACAATTTGTTAAAATGATTGATTCGAACGATGAAACAACAGAATCACATAAGAGACGGTCTTAAAGCGAACTTTTTTAAAACAGTTACTACAATTTTGCATAGATACTTCGCTAATTCCATTTAAATCTCATTTCGACTGGTTTAGTACTTCTAATGTTATGCACTTCCTAACGTTTCCAACACTCCTCTAAGAAATTTCAATTCACTCTGTGACAAGGCTGTCTTCGGTCTTTCATTTACTAGAAAACCTGTCGTACTGCAGCGTCGAAACGGTCCGGAGGCATTCAGTTCGATAAAACGAGGACAAAAGACCGCGGATCAATGTATATTCGAAACGATGGAAGTCAATAGTCTTAATCTGGCCAAGTCAATATTCCCCGATATCACAATAAGCGAGCGTCGACTTCTTATCCAGGCGAGCTTGAAAATTCTTACGTCCTATATAATAATGACCGGCCGGGTGGGTCCGCTGAATCGGTCTTTCAACAAGTAGTGCGCCCCGGTCCAAGCAGAAATATTTGGAACGGTTCGAGCTCCTTTTAGCATTTCGGTAGTCGGTTCGTTTCCTTCCTGCATCTCGTCTTACATTTATCCCCCCCGTGCCCATTCCGGAATCCATTTCCGTAGAGTTTTACTGGCCGCGGCTGAAGAAAAACCTTGAGAAGGGTCCAGCGGCGAGGGCAAGAAACAGCGGTCGACGAGGCAAGGAGAAAAAAAATATATAAAATAAAAGGAGAAAGGCAGAAGTATAAGAAAGCAACGGGATTTCGCGTTCCACCCCGTGGAATGAAACCCAGAATCTACGAGCGCCATCCGAATGTCCGCTTGAAAAGAAAACGCGCTTAACCCCGTTTATTGTGTATCCCAAGGACTAATTTTCCGACTGAATGCCAGATATTCGCGGTCGACGCCAGCCTTTATGGTTCGAGCATTGCCAAATGCATCGCGAGGACGGCCAGATTCGATTGTCGCTGAACCGACCTCGGATTTGGACACAAAGGGGAACGCTTTTCAACCGGTGATGGATACGACTCTTGATTTCACGCTGATTTCTCTCTCCGCCTGCCTGCTTCTGCGTGCTATAACCCCCGACGTTCAAGGGGTTGCTTTCAACACTGTTTAACCGGAGAAGTTGAAAAGGAATATTCATGTGAATGACACGACTTGAACATGTTCTGTGTAACAGTTCTGATGGGAGACCTCATTTATCGAAATGAAGATTTAATTATGCAAGATAACATTTTTTAATGACTGCGTCTTTTATTCTTTTCTACGTTCGGAAATTGAGTATTGATATTTGTACAAATCCAGTAAAGCATTAATTCCTAAAAGCATGGCTTGATGGTAAGAGTCTTTCTCGTGATTTCATTAAACCGTCCAAAGTACCGCTGTGGTTAATCAGTTCAGGATATACTCTCTGCTAGTCTGACCTGTATGATTCACAGCGTCTTGTTTTGATTCAACAATTACACGAATTAAAAATTTCTTACCTTTCCCGTGTTGAAATGTTTATTAATTCTTCTGATGCTAAGGTTTATATATTTTTTAAAAAGTGCAATTTAAAAATTTGAGATATTAAGTTTAAATGATAGAAATAAAAAATATATATTGATCTTTCGTACATGCTGTACAGGTAAATAAATCTCATATTCCACATGGTATGATGATAAAAAAAGAGAAGCATCTTCAGTCTGCGATCGATGGTATTTAAAGTGACGTTTAGAATATGCATGTTTGCCTTGTACTTTATAATTCTAACGCCTGGAGACGAAGGCTTTTTAAATTAGCATATTCGCTGCCTCGTCAGGTGACGACTTTCGGAAATATCAGTAGCACGCTCTTGACAGGCAGCGTCTAATCCATCAAAAGCAACGCATGCATTCAAATTAAAGTATCAGCGAATGATCTGCCCGCCCCCTCATTCATTATCGATTCTCGTGCATCAAAGTCGACGAGGGATCGTGCAACAAGCTTCAGGTACTACGATGTATGAGAGAGGCAGAGAGAGAGCCGATCTACGATAGATAGACGGGAATCTTCTTACGAAGATTTATCGGTGGCTGTCGCGCGGTCGCATTGAAATACGTGTAAGCAGTAATTACGATTGGAAAAGGTACGCAACGCGCCGTTCGTTGAATCAAGTATATCATTTGTATCGTAATTCGCATTCGAAGGATTACATCGATTTAGGGAACTGTCTTCTATGCGAATCACATAAAACCCTTCGCTAGATCGCCTGACGCAATTACTTAAGGAGTCCACGATCGGATGGAGACGTCCGCCGGAGAATTATGAGTGGCGTTGTCGCATGCACGCGTGATGATCGTTCCAATTTACATTTTCGCGGGTCGCCGAGTCACGCGGCTGTCCCGCCGCCCGTCGTACATGTACATATATACATATATCTTCGCGCTTCCGTTAAGATTCGAGGTACCTTGGCCACGCGACCGGGCCGCGGTGTCGTCCCCTCGATTCGAAACGCTGCCGGAAGAATGGAAAAATTATTGCCTTTCCGATACAGCGATAACCCGGCGAAGGTTATTACTGCGATAGAAAAGGTCGGAACGAATCGAGCCGCGCGTTCCACCGGGCACGCAAGCGAGATGGTCGATACTCCACCGGACTGGATGTGTGCGCGTGCTCATTTACATATGCACATGTAGATACGTACACACTTGAACTCTCGGCGCTATACGCGCGTAATGCATGCCCGAAACGGAAGGCATACTTCTGTAATTGGGGCATGCTCTCGGCTGTTGGTTAAATTACACAACGGCTGGCTATACTTTCGCGGGGTGAAACTCGTGTCCCTTACGCGAGAAAATTGCTCGTTCATGCCGGTACACGGGGACCCAGGGTTGATATTAAAGCTAAATGGACAACGGTTGTCGAGCATCTTTATTACAATTACGTATAAGCGATACGTTTCTAATTATGCAAATTACAAACAAATCGTAACGCTTTTCGTACTGCGACATTTATTCAGCTTCGTCGATTACCCATCAATAGTGATTGTAATGAAAAAGTTTGATATTGTTTAATAATTGGCAGATAAAAATTTCAAAAGAGTTGTACAACATTCATGGCTAGTATGTGATAAATTCGCAAATTTTGCAATTGTACATAACAATTTAATAAAATGATTTAAGAGTATTTATAAATACCCTTAACATGTCAGTCCTGTAGAGATAAAGCATTACTCGTCAGGGCAGTACTGTTATTAACACAACTGAACAAATTCATAGAGGACAGTCACAAACCAATCA